AACATTCCACAGGCCACAATCAACAACCTGATCAACTCTATGCGAAGGAGATGTGTTGCACTGCGTGAGGCAAATGGTGGTCACACCAGATACTGACTGGTTTTCGGACCCCCCCCGGACCCCCCAATACAGTAAAACTGCACATTTTAGAGTGGCCTTTTATTGTGGCCAGCCTAAGGCACACCTGTGCAATAATCATGCTGTCTAATCAGCATCTTGATATGCCACACCTGTGAGGTGGATGGATTATCTCGGCAAAGGAGAAGTGCTCACTAACACAGATTTAGACAGATCTGTGAACAATATTTGAGAGAAATAGGCCTTTTGTGTACATAGAAAAAGTCTTAGATCTTTGAGTTCAGCTCATGAAAAATGGGGGCGTTTATAATTTTGTTCAGTGTATTATGTGTATATGTATGTCTGTATGTATGTAAATTAAACAAATATATATATATATATAATGATATATGTAACATTTTAGAGCATTTAAAGTAGCAGTAGCCTAATTATACTGCTGATTATAATATAAATATCTAAATATTGTATTTAAGTATTTTTAGTGAGTATTTAATCATTCATTCATTTTGTACTTTAGGGTGAAATATGAACTGGATGTTTTTGTAAGATTCATCCCATAACATTTATATTTTTTATAAAAAAATGTGGAATGATCAAAATATCCTAATTTGGTGCTCCGTTATTACCAGTTATTAATCATTTATTATCAATGTTGAAAACAATGTTGCTTAATAATTTTGTGGAAACCGTGAAACAGTACTGTGAGTGGGGCAAGACTATGGAACTTTTCATAGCATGTAAAGTCATTTCCGTTTGTTTGCAGCTTACACCATATTTATTGATTTATCATTTGAAAATATGTGCTCTCTGTGAATGACTAAAATACCCTGAAGGATAGCTTTTTGTTTACGCATTGAAACTCAATACTAATCACATCGTACATATTGTCCTTTTATTTTTGTTTGTGTACAAAGTGTTACCATGATGAAGTGGACCTCTCGGAATCCCAAAGAATGCAGAGTTTGGCAAAAAAAAAAAAAAAAGTGAGAAAGAGCATTTGGATTAATTCTGACAGCACTGTTCTTGTTCTTTCACAGCTGGCCCAGTTGATCCTCTTATTTGGAGCTGCAGTTCATTACACTAGAAGTAAAAAAACACCTTATAGAGACATGGAATACTATCAGTATTCAACAACAGCTTAAATTTGCATCGCTTAACTACAGAGACTTGCGCTTTTCACAACATTTAAAGGATATGTGACATTAAATTCATCTTGTAAGTATTATATAACATCATGTTTCTTCCGACCAATAGATTAGCAAGCACTCAAACAACACAACACCTCTTTCATCTTCTTGTAAGTTTAAGTTTTGTTTCCTTGGGAGTAATAGATGCTATTATTTAGTAAAAGGCTTGGCGTGTTGCCCGGGGCCTTGGGAAGATTCCTGCTGATGGACTTAAGGACATGCACACGGCCCTACAAGCAAACACAAGCCCTTCCCTTTGATGGAATCTTGTACTCGTTCCACTTGGAATCACTGAGACATCTCAAACATTGTATACTAAAGCTACTGAAATTTATTCTGAATTTTAACTTGCCTTTAAATAAACATATTATGGATTCTAGCCTGGTTTATACTCAATATCTCAAAGAAACGTGTCATGCAAGCAGTGAATGTCAACAAATACATGTTTCATTATTTGGAAACCTCATACAATAACTTCAGTTTTAGATGGTGTTAAATTTAAGGCATAAGATTAAATTTTAATATCAGCCTAATTTTGTCTCTCTTGCAAAGTTCAATAATACACACTGTATATTACCAGTCAAAAATGTGGAATAATTAGGATTTAAAAAAAAAAAAGTCTTTTATGCTCACCAAGGCTGCATTTATTTGATCCAAAGTAAAAGCTGTGATATTATAAAATATTTTTTTTTTTTCTGAACTGTTTTCTTTTTGAATATATTTTAAAATGTAATTTATTCCTGTGATGCAAAGCTGAATTTTCAGTATGATTACTCCAGTCTTTAGTGTCACATGATCCTTTAGAAATCAAATATGCTGATTTCGGTGCTCAGTTATAAGCAGTTATTAATTATTATATTATTTTTGTCAATGTTAAAAACAGTTTTAACTGCTTAATAATTTTGTGGAAATCGAGATACATTTTTTTTTCAATATTCTTTTAATGAATAGAAAGTTAAAAACAGGATTTATTTGAAATAGAATTTTTTTCTAGCATTATAAATGTCTTTACTGTCACTGTTGCACAATTTAATATTTATTTCCTCTTTTTTAACTTAATTAACCCAAACCTCTAAATGATGTATCACAGTTTCGACAGAAATATTAAGCAGCACAACTGTTTTTAACATTGATAATAATAAGAAATATTTGTTGAGATCAAATCAACATCATAGAATGATTTCTGAAGGATCATGTGACACTGAAGACTGGAGTAATTATGCTGAAAATTCAGTTTTGATCACAGGAATAAGTTACATTTAAAATATATTAAAATGGAAAACTCTTCATTTGAGCTTTAAAGTATAACGCTAATTGGTCATTCAGTTGGCTTATTTATTATATTTGTTGTATATGCATTTCTGATTTAATTTCTAATAGTACAGGTGCATCTCAATAAATTAGAATGTCATGGAAAAGTTCATTTATTTCAGTAATTCAACTCAAATTGTGAAACTCGTGTATTAAATAAATTCAATGCACACAGACTGAAGTAGTTTAAGTCTTTGGTTCTTTTAATTGTGATGATTTTGGCTCACATTTAACAAAAACCCACCAATTCTCAACAAATTATAATACTTCATAAGACCAATAGAAAAACATTTTTAGTGAATTGTTGTCCTTCTGGAAAGTATGTTCATTTACTGTACATGTACTCAATACTTGGTAGGGGCTCCTTTTGCTTTAATTACTGCCTCAATTCGGCGTGGCATGGAGGTGATCAGTTTGTGGCACTGCTGAGGTGGTATGGAAGCCCAGGTTTCTTTGACAGTGGCCTTCAGCTCATCTGCATTTTTTGGTCTCTTGTTTCTCATTTTCCTCTTGACAATACCCCATAGATTCTCTATGGGGTTCAGGTCTGAATTTATTTAATACACGAGTTTCACAATTTGAGTTGAATTACTGAAATAAATGAAATTTTCCACGACATTCTAATTTATTGAGATGCACCTGTATACACTAAGCCTTGTAATGGCCTGGCCATCTGAACAGGCTGTTTCCCTGCCTACGGTCCGAGACCATCAGCATCACTGTGACCCGACAGGGCAAGCAGTTTGGAAAATGCATGGATATTGAGTCTGGCCAACTGTACTCATTCAAATTAATGCATGGGGGAAAAATATTAACCAAAATCCAAACTATATTTGAGCTTCAAAACGGTTTGACAAACACACTTTGTCTTGGATTTCCATCTATAAAAGAGCGGTTTAACCATTTCAGGGATTATTGTCCATATAGAGACATTAATAGCTGTGATCCATAAAGCCTGTGCCACTGTAGAGGCTTGTGATTAAACTTCTGGTGCAGAATCACCTAGCAAACAGGTCTTCACACGCATGCATTTCTGATTATTAGAATATTGTTAGTTTATTGTTTTTTTACTGATGCTTTTCAACAAGAGGTATCAATAAATCAGACAATAAATCAGCATGTTTCCACATGCTAACAGATATCAAGATCAGAAAAAAAGTATTTCTTACTCTGAATAAGTCACAAAATACTATTATGTTTGCTTGCAATAAGATAAATAATAATAATTTTATATAAAAAATACTGAGAAGGAAGATACAACGTTTGCACATACACACATTAGTACCAGAGGTGTAAAGTATTGGAGTAAATGTAATTAGTTACTGTACTTGAGTATCTTTTCGGATACTTTGTAGTTGTACTGAGTATCAAAGATATTAGCAACTTTTATTCTTTACTCCACTACATTTGAAATGAGTGTTGCAGTTACACATTACATTTTGCATGGACCTAGCTTTTTCTGCTGCAGTTTATTTCTGCTACAAAAGACGTGATACTGCCTATTACAGGCCACTGAATGTACTGCATCTTGTGCGTTTTGCCCTTACTCACCCAAACTTTTCAACAAGGCTATGTGAATGCGAGTTCCTTGGCAAGTATTTGTGAATCACAAGTGTTTTATAAATGAGATGAGGACATGACTGCAGCCGGCAATGAGACCCAAACCAGCACATCCACTGCAAGAAGGCTTCGGCTTTTTAATTTTACTTAACATTATTTTATTTATCCATTATACTGAAGAGACCTTTTTGAAAGATATTGTTTGTTGTTTGTTTGTTTTGTTTTGTAATTTTGAGGTGTTCAGTTTTATTTTTTTTAGAAAATAAACGTGATTGCTCTCCTCACAAATCAACTCTTTCTTGTTTTTGTTTCATGCTCTCTGTGCCTTGCCCTGGACTTTTATGTCACTTCCTGTCTCCCGTGGTGTTTGTAGTCAGTTTGTAGTCCGTTTATTCATTGGTTCCCCTTGATTAGTCTCCCCAGGTGTGTCTTATCTTGTTTAGCTTGTTAGCCCCCTGTGTGTATATATAGCCCTAGTTTTCCCTTTAGTTCCTTGTGAGTTGTTGAATGTAATGGTTGTCTGCGTGCCAGTCATTCTGTTCTTTGTTCCCTTTGGTTTTTGGCTTATTGTTTGTTCTAGTTTTTCCATTAAATACCAGCACATAGATCCTTGCCTCTGCCTTTTTCCCCAGCTTCTCCACAACATTACAGTTTTAGAAATGCCCTTATATCACATCATAACACAGTACGAATACATTTATAATATAATTGAATATAGTTGTACATTGTGTGAAAATGTTACACATAGGCCAGCTTGTTTTAGGTCAAGAACGAGCGCTCGCCTTGATTGGCCAGTGGGAGAGCACGTGACAAGGCAGTCACGCGGTTTCCAGGAACCCGTCAGGAAGAAGATAAACAAAACAAACCAGAGAGGAAGACGGCGTGGATTGAGAAGAATGACATGAAGTTTTCCTAAAGGCGAATACAATTGGAATTACAACCATTTTTGTACTAGTATATGGGTAGCTTAAAGGTGAGTCATCATTTTGTCTATGACAACGCTGTGAAATGTGTGAGTATAGTTGTTTAAGGATTATCAAAACATTGTCTCTTGGAGTTAGCTCTCTGGCTAAGTTTCGCTAGCAGAGGGGAGGGACACGGAGGCCATAGTGTGAAAGCACTCTACCCTCACTGATAGAGCGCTGTGCTGTTTGTTTTTGCAGCTTGAGGTGGCCGTTTGTTCTTTCAGATCAATATTTTTTCCTGTGGTTGCTTAGCTGGCTAGTCATTGCTGCTGAGTAAGGGTAGAAGATGTTGGTCGTTCGCTTTCAATTACACGAGAACTTCTAGAACATTGCTTGGACTCCAGCACTGCACCTTTTGGAGATCTCCTCCAGTTGACACACCCATATCCTTTATAAATAATCTAATGATATAAATCAGGTGTAGAAAGCCTAGCCTTTACAGCATTCAGTGACATTTTAGACCATTGTTTGAAAGTTGTGCATATCTGTTTATCAAAAATATGTTACACTAAGGTGATCTGATACATATATGTAGCAGTCGAGGTGATTAGTGACTTGGAAACTTGTTTTCTTTGTATTCATAGATTATTTTACGATGTCTTACTAGAATTAACCCCACTAAGTCTGTGAGGGTACACGCCCCCCTCAGCACGATGCAAAGTAAAATTGAAACACGATAGTATTTCTGGTATCTAGACTGCCTTTGGCACATTGATAACTGTCCGAAACGATTTTAATGTGTTTTGATCGTGCATCAAAAGAAACTCGAATGCTTTAAAACGCAGTTTGTGATCCGTTTGAACGAGTCGTTTTATCGCAAAATGATGTTCATATGCCAGCTGCTTTGTTAAAACTTGGAAATCATGTGTTTGTGTGTAAACTCAAAGTTTATAAGGAGCTAATGTTTCGCATTCCATCTGTTTACGTAACATGAGGGAGGCCTGCAAAATTGTTTGTTGCTCGTCGACTCAACCAAGCGCTACGAGAAGGGGCGTTTATGCGTAATTGTGCTTGATTGACATCGAGTAGGTGCAATCGCTTTGCTTGCAGAGGCGGGTTATGGATTTGCTTGCAGCCAATCAGAACACGCCAATACGTGGGCGTTGGCGCAGAATCGCTACGGGTTAGGTTGACGCTGTTTGTTTTTGAAGGGGGCCATGTTGAGTTCAGGGTGTTGTGAAGTGTTAGTAGGTCAGAGTAATATACGTTCTTGGCCATAACGCACAAATTACGCTAAGCGTTTTAGTGTCATTCATTTTATTTGTTTAATGCAGATGTGTCTAATCGGTGTGAAGTGTAGAAATGTGAGCAGTCGAGAGCTGTTTAGTAGGTCATACTGTCTTCAAGTAAACATTGCAGGGGTGGTCATCTATAGGACAGTTGAATAAGTCCTAATAAGTCCACATCCTAATTTGAATAAGTGAGGAATTATGTGTTTTACCCTGGTTTTACTCACCCTTTAACTCAGATTTTTACTAACACTTTAAGTGTTTAATAACACTTATTATTCACCCTCATATTTTTTTAAATATTAAAGGGGTCATATGATGCTTTTTTTAAAGATCATTACTTTGTGTATTTGGTGTAACAGAATATGTTGACATGCTTTAATGTTCAAAAAACACGATGCTTTTTTCTTTGGAATATAAAAGGAGAAATTGATAAAAATGTATCCATACAGAAAGTTTTCATAATGTCTCAGAGGTCGCTAATACCAATTAAACAGATTGTTTTAAAATCAATAGTATGAACAAAAACTTTTCACTTGATGTAAAATAGTGCTGAATGTCATTAGAAAATTAGAAATGTATAATAATGACTTAACCATGAGAGAATTTTGTAATTATTATAATAATAAAAAAAAGAATACATAAAAACAGCTTAATCACTAATGACTACTTTATTATTATGAAATGTATAAATAATGTACAAGAAAGCGAGAGAGAAAAAGGGATAGAAGTAAAATCAACTTAATTTCTTATGTAATTTTCAAAAAGCACTGCATATATTATATATCCACATCCCCACATGTTTCAGATGTATATATTGTACGTTTCTTTTGCACATAACTATTTCATAACATTTATTTTGTTAGAACTGAGAAATGTTTGGAAAAATATAAAACAAAAAACAGGCTATTCCTTTGCATTTGTTGCGCTTTTTATGCAGTATGTGCACGGTATGTCTTCTGAAGCAAGTAATCGGATGATCAAAGATGGTTGGTATTAACATGATATTAAGAACATGTTGCAACAAACTCCATGTGGAGTCCGTTACCCATTACATTTACTTTGGGAAGCCATTCAAAGTAGAGGTCTACACGGGTCCAAAAATTCGCACCCGAACCCGAAGAGACCCGTAAATGTGCTACACTGAACCGACCCGGACCCGTCTATTATTTTGAAAGTTGGACCCGGGCCCGTGCAGAACCGAGAAATGTCAAAAATGTACTACCCGGAACCGACGCGGACATCAGTTATTTGAAAGATGGACCCGAACCCACCCGGGAAGACACAGACCCGACTGGACCCGATCGGCGCATATTCCACAGCAAATTGCTATTAACAAGTCAATAAACAAGTTGCGAAAATTAAACTTTTTGTCTTACCTAATGTAAGAAGCCTTCTTCTCCGTACCTGACTGTGATGCACACAATCCTCCTTGCCAAGAAAGTTCCATCCGTGTTATTCCTCTCTTGCCAATTGAAATGCGTAATCCACTCATTATTCCAGTTTCAAAAGTCCACTTGCTGTCACGGTGACGGATGACAAATGCAACTTTGCAGTTTTGCATTTTTTGTATCTCGAGTCAACTTGCATAATAATTTAGACTGTTTGCCCATTTGGATTATAATAACGATTGCTCGTCCAGTGCCATGGCTGCTGACGTTAGCTTTACTTATTTGCTATTTATGTGCTCTCTGAGCCGAGTCTGAGCAAAAAATTTTAGATATAACAACAAGACGGTTTATTCATAATAGTATTAAAAAAATAATCAATAATAACTCGCATCACTCATGAAGGTATCCATTATCACCGTGCGTGTGCATTAACTCCGCCCACCCTGCTTCTGTCAAAGCACATAGCTTGTTCGTTAGTCAACAACAAAATAATAACACTAGAGAGGTGCTTTTTTGTTTAAAGCTGCCGTCCGTAACTTTTTTTGGTTAAAAATGATCCGAAATCAATATTTGAGAAAGTACATGACCAGCCAATGTTCAAAACTATCGCCTTACTTTAGTCCGATTCACAATGGTAAGCTTATAATAATGTTTTCTAATTTGAGTGGTAGGGGTAGGTTTTCGCGGGAAATTCAAGCATGGCACTGCGTCATTACGTCACGTCTGTAAACATAAAGAAATGACAATTAGAGATTAGACTATACAGAAACTGAAATCACACGCTAATACACACTATACTCATAGTCACGCAATGCTGATGTTAACATTAATAATTTGAGAACAAAGTATAACAATAATAATAAATTGCACGGTTTGATGTGATATAAGCTAACCGATCGTTGCACTTAATCACCATTGGTAGCACGATTTATTGTAATCCTTTTTTCCTCAGTTGGTCAGAACAAACGTGGCAGACTTGTTACTTACTTGTTTAGATGACAGCATACGGTGAAAATTCTTATTTGGGTCATATATTCCAAGATGTAGGCTAGAATCTGTGATTGTGAATACAGTAAATATCCACACCGGTGCGGTGACTGACTGCCACACGTTCACCTCAAAACATTAGATTAATCCGCGCTGGAGCACAACCCCACGCATGGAATATAATGCCGCAAACAGCTGCAATTGCAGGTTTTCAAACAGAGATGGCGACAAAGAGGCAAAACTTACGGACTGCAGCTTTAATGCACTATTTCAGTTGTTTTTCAAAGCGCTTCAGTTGTCCTTGAGTGTGAGACTGAGAGCCAGGCGTTTGCCTTTGTGTAAGAAGTGCTGTTGCTGTCTCAGCGAGCAGAGACTTCTGACATTTGCAGAGTAAGTCTGTGCATTTAAAGGCTGGACTGCAAAATGTAAGCTTGTTTGTAATTAGCTCAGACTGTCCTTTTAAGGCACAGACAGACCTTGGAGCTAATAAGACATGTCTAAGTTAAATAGGGTTGGGTACTGAAACCCGGTACCAATATGGCACCGGTACCTATGTAACCGGTATGTACTAGAACAGCACATCTTACAAGATCAGATATTTGTCAGTGAGCTCAGAATCTGTTGAGCACAAGATACTCCAGCATGGTCTTGTCAGTCATCTCTCTTTATTCTTGACCTGTGATCAGGCAAATCTGACTCCGGTAGCTCTTGTTAGATGCAGGGTTGTCAAGTCCGCGTTTTCTCCACAGAATTGGGCTACTTTTAAACTTTTCCCAAGTGGGTTAAAGGTTTGAAATATTGCATAAATTACATTTGACTGAAATGCTTGTATTGAAACATTTTGCATTCTACCTATGATAAAACTTTCATGGACTTCTACATTAACTGTTCCCTCCTGGTGGAATGACCTGCCCAGCTCAATCCAAGCAGCTGAGTCCTTAATATTTTCAAGAAACGGCTGAAAACACATCTCTTTCATCTTCATTTGACCCTCTAACTCTAGCACTCTCTATTCTAATGCTACTTGTAATTTTATCTGCTTGTTTTTTTTTATTAAATAACTTGACCCTTTAACATTTGCACTCTCTATTCTATTTCTGTTCTAATGGCCAATCCATCATTTTTTGGGGTAATTTTTTATTTATTTTTTATAAGTATCGGTTCAGGCACCGGAACCGTTTTAAAAGTATCGATTTGGCACCGGTATCGAAAAAAACTCCAAACGATACCCAACCCTAAAGTTAAATATGAATCGTATATAAGCACTAGACTGTCTTATGTCATACTTCCTGTGTATTAGCCGAAGTGTGTCTGTAGCTTTAGCGCAAAGGCCACCAATTTGATCACAGAACGCCTATGCTTAAGATTCTTCAGCTTGTGCATAACAAAGCGGCGGACTGT